TTGGTTCTGTACAATCTCTGCTGTATATATGTAACGTCACTATCTGTTGACGTCTTCTACAGTTGTGGTGGTAATTTATTTTTCAAATTATCGTTCTCCATGTTCTCATGGCAGGAAATCGATTTCTTCACGAAGGACACGACGAGGGATAAAAGCCAAACTCTATAGCGATATGCCTGAGCAAATGGTTTTTATTATATTGGAGGGAATGTTATTTATCAATTCTTTCAAAAAGTGAATATAGATTTCCATCTGTATTCAGAATGGGTTAGGGTAGGAATCACAAAATCGAAGAATACGTGTACAGAATACACTTCTCTCCATATTACGACCCACAGTTTGTTTATCTGTTTTTTGACGTTAAATAAATAATCATGCAATCTATTGCTGACGTGTAAGATAATGGCATTGTTGAGATACGGGGAGTTTCCTCCTAATGGCACTTGGTAATTTTCTGCTGGAAGGTTCTGTAGTGCACTACCACCACCGTTCTGCCATGTGACGTTGCAAATCGCTGCTGGCAACGTAACGCTGCTATTTGCTCTGATCATTTGATTGTGCCATCGCTCAAATGAAGACAAAAAAGAAAACTTGCCATGACTTATGCTCCATCCCTCGCATTTTTTGCATTCGTTCTCGTTGTGATCAGACCCATCTCAGAATGAAGACTCTCACTGTTTTCCTGAAAATAAATCATTTAAATTGCGGTGATGATGGCAAGCAATGCTAAATGAATAAAGGATGTGCAGAACAATGATGAATATGCGCTCTCGTCCAATGACCTCCGCCGCGTGGCTGGCTCTCGAGTCGGGGTCCTGCCAGTCGTAATTGCAAGGAGCGCCATGCGCCTCTCCTTGTGAGCCCCCCGGTGACCAGGGCGCTTGCCAGCTGGCATTGCACGCCACCTCGACGAATATCGCCTTTTATCTAGACCGGGCAAACAACCGCTCTCTACCTCGGAAAACAGGATAAACAGGCTTAGTGAGTTGTCGTGACTGTACGGAAATGCCCCGCGAACTATTGCAATGTGTCAATGTTGTGATTGACGACTCACATATTTGTGAAGGGGAGTGGAGATGCCTCATTGAGTTGGTGGAATTTTGTTCACTCGCTGCTGGAGAGCTTCCAAGTACTTTATGTTCCACTACGGCTTTTTCCATTCAATAATTTAGGGGTGTTCCATTGAGCATATTACATTTAAATATATTATTGTCAGGGCCATCGTATAAAATGTACCTCTCTGAATATTTACACAGTAAAAGTCTACGGAATCGAAGTTATGTGAATGGAGATGTACGGAGAAAGGAAAAAATCGTAAAAGAAAAAAAGTTATGAAGTCTTACGTGTGAAGTTGAAACTCTTGTCATTTCCTTACAACTCATCTCGCCCATTTGTGCTAGTTGGTGACAGTGGCATTGTTACAGCTAGGTTTATTCAGATAACTGTGAACTAAATCTTGTGTCATCTGCGCGTTCATTTCTCTTTACGTCGATTCTTCCCCTTTCTCCTCGTGGTTATGCGACTGCAGATGCCATCTCGCAGCGTCCTAGGATTAGTTTCGCGTGAGCTGCGACGTGTGTGAGGGGTGTGGGGCGCCCGCCCGCGCATGCGGATCTGGTGTCCTGCTACGCTTGGCGCATCAGGAAAATCCGCTCCAAATACCGTTTTGAGGGACTTTCATCGGTCGTCTGTGCAACGGTATTCTAGTTCGCTTTGGGTGAAAATGCAGTGTACGTTCTGGCGTGAGACATGATATATGCTGTGCATTATATCAACACGTGCAGCTTGCTGGTTTTCAATGTCAGCTTCAGGTGTGTTTCACTCGACACCTCACGTTCATATCGCATTTTCCGTCACCTGTTTATTTTTTCCTTTTTTCTATCACTCTACTCTTTTCGCCATCGCGAAATCTTTTGTGGAAAGGGGAGAAAAAGCGTAAATAAGACGGAAAGAGGCACAAATAAGGCAAACTGCCAAAAATCGTACGTATCAAGCTAAAATAAGGGGAAAAGGCAAAATGAAAATCTCCAACTACTCCAGAAGTACAATTAAGTGATTCCTATTGTAAAGTTATAAAATCGTAACAACAACAAGCCATTTTGCGAAACTTCCGATCTATAATCATACACAATGCCGAATCATGATATTGTTGGATTGTGACGTGAAATGGTTCTAATTCTAATGCACAAACCTCGATTATATTGTAAATACGTCCCATTTTGGTGCTGAAATATAAATGATGCGGATCGAATCGTGGTTTTCATGTTTACGGAATGCTTTACTCATCTTTTTGTTTCATGAAGTGTAAGACCCTATAGAAGTGAATAGAATAATGACTATCGATTACGTGCCGCGTTGCAGCATTGACGAGTCTTCTCCTTTCGTGACTGCAGCTGAGTATCTCTTCAAAATATTGCGAGGCAAATGACTCATCATGTCCTGAATACATTGTTCGTTGACATACAGCACTTAGTGTTGTGTCAAGGAGATGTAGTCAAAGACAGACGAGTATCTACTGCTATGGTCATCTGTGTACTCCAGGTTGGTACTGAAGGGAAGAGTTGTTGCAAATATTACGACTTTGAATGACCAATGAAGTATGTAATGCCATCAATGTAAAATGTGTCATTAATGTACAACACCCACAAATTCACTTCTTATTTTATATTCATGTGCTGCAACACTGGCACCACTTGAAAATGTGTTATATGATTACAAACCAGATTTTCATACACCAAGTCCTAAAATGTTCGTGGAAAATTGCGCTGTCAATATCCAGACAAGCAGGATGATGCTAGCCTCAAGGAAATGTTTTGAGTGTCAAAAATACCTTTCTATGCCACAAGGCATAATAGTACCGTTCTTAAAGGTAAAAGTAACTCAACTGTGTGGAATGTCTTCTTCACAAACGCTCGAATCATTGAAATCTGCCGTGATAGTGTCGAGTGCCACATCATGGAATAATATCCGAGAGCTTTGCAAGCGCTCCCACGGCAGCGTGGACCTAAGTTATTCATTAACCTCTTCGTGCTTGGCCCGTCGGCAAGCAGACGATCGGTAAGGCTTACTAAGTGACCGTCGGTCATTAACAGAAAATGGCATGGTGGCTGCACATATCTGTATGACGTTGTAGTACAGGATTTTACGAGTGAATCTACATTATCTTTCACGTCATTCCTCATCGTATGTCTGAATGTAGGTACTTCAGATTATTGGAAATTTATTAACATGATTAAAGGTCGACGCGTTTGATTAAAGTTACTCTATATTTAAGTCGCTGCTAATTACAATACCTAGAAAAGTCCAAAATTATCTCGCTATTTTCAATTGCGGTTTCTTTACCAACATATTTCAATATCCACAAAATTTAAAGACTGAACCGACAGTTCCAAACTTTTTGTTTTTATATACTTCGTGTCATGCCGACAGTTGTTTATTTGATGAGAGTGTGGTACATTTTGCTCACAATATTAAGATAATTTGAAAGGATTTTACTGCTCTTTCATGCGGTTCCAATTTTCTCGCACCTGAAGCTGAAGTGGCTAACGAGTGAGCGTTCACGGAGGCAGGGTCGGACTTCAAAATCCAAGGCGCCTCCTGTTACAACAAACAAATAAAAATGGACAAAATATTAATATTAAACATAATAATATAAAATAATTATTTATTAATTGTTCATAATTTCGAGTTATTATTAATAATATTATTCCAATAATCCTAATATTAAAATCTGAATAAAAATTATGATATTATAATTATATTGTTTCATAATTATATTAATTATATTTCAAAATCTGTTTGGCTAGTACAATAGTTATAAAATTAATAAGTAAAACTAAAAAAATGGTTTAAACATTTATTGGGACCCGAATCGTATTGTATGACTATCATCTGCGGCCCCTAGGCATCTGCCTAGTTTACGTAGGCGGAAGCCCGGCCTGCCTTGCACGGAGGACGATGACACGACTCAGCATTGTGAGTGCACTCCCTGCGGTCTCCTGTCGCGGCGCGTCCAAACGCACCGACCTCAATGCCTAGTTCGTGCTGCGTCCACGCGTTTCCTTTGCTGGCCCCGAGCTCGCAGCTGCGCCGCCCTCTTTCTTATTTTCTTTCTCTGCTGCAACTTGCTCCGCGCGGAACACGCCGCGAATTCAATAATTACTCAGACTCAGCTTTCAGACGGTTTGTTCTCATTGTTTATCACACGTGTACAGGGGCGGATCCAGAGAGGAATTTTGGGAGGGGAAATTCAAAATGTTTTCGTCAAATATGTCATATTACAGATTTTGTAAAATGTCGCAGGCCACACACAGCACAAGCTGCGATACTGCGATTTATTCTTTTTAAAGATAATACGAAAATATTTTTGCTTGAAAGTCTCGGGACAAGTTAAAATTAATAGTTACTGAACGTTTTAAGGGGGGGATTTCCCTTAATTCTCTCCCCGTGGCTACGCGCCTGCTCGTGTAGCACCCCCACGGGGTGACACGAAGAAATGAATAATTCGTGCTAGAATTAGGAACGGCGTTAGTGAAGTCTTTGGAAAATTCGTCGGCATCGAAATTTACCTACTTTAAGTTATCTACTTCATTTTAAGAAGCGATGGAATACTAAGATAATCTCTGTTTCATTTCATTAAACAACTCTTGCTTTTTTGCAATTAGGGAATAAGGAAAAACTGGTTGGTTTGTAAAACATTGAATGATTTGTTGAAATGCGACATTTTTTCTCTATCATTTCTTGAATTATGACTCATTTGAATATCATGTCTGGCTCAGACATAGGGATGTTTTTGCACATTACATTCAAAAGGGATGTTTTGGCACGTCAGAGAGAAAAAAAATGTAGTGCAGCATGGGTTTGCCTCGGGGAAAGAGAGAGCACTGTCTTTGCACCTTCATCCGAAGGTGCACAGGTTTAATTCATGTTATTATAGATATTTTAGTTCATTGCCTTTCCGTCTAGATTCCTACGTGTATTAGTTTATTCTGTATGTTTAGAAGGACCCTGTAGGAGGAACCGCAGTAAGTGGCTCAGGTTGGATAATCTTTCTATAACTGTAATATTCTGCACCCCTGTGATTGTGTTCTAGTTTGAGCTACTGAAGCGATATAGAAACCTGTTTTTGGTGTTTGTATAATTAGTTGTAATTCAATGATATGTTGTCAAAAAAGTTTTTTTCGGATTCAACGTTTCCATATGAAATATGATACGAAATCAGCAAAATTTGGTGCTATTGGTATGATTTCTGGTGATACAATGCAGTAGTTTTAGAGGTGCGCAATTTCATAGTTGCAGTGAGTTTGGAGACAGGTGATAGGAATTATTTAGCGGAATAGGGAATTGACAAAATAAATCCACATTTAAGTAGGCTTCCCTAAACTTATTTTGAATGACGGCACTCTTGATTTTCTGTCTGTCGGGGTCAGCCTTTCAACAAGTCGATGTGTTATTAAAATTTTCTGTATTCTTACTTTCTTTATTGTCAACTTCACGTTGCCCTTTCCAGACTATGAAAATAGTTTTTTTATTGGAAGTGTTTTTCGCAGCTATTTGAAGAGGAAAATGTGTAATATTGGAAATCTTAAAAGAAAGAAAAAATATCCAATCTGCATTTTGTAAATACTGTGATTTTATAATAAATATCTCATTATTTCATTACGGCATTTTTGTCGGGTTACTCCTAAAGCGATAATAAAAAGTTGTACCCACTGTGGACAGTGACGAGTCAGTAAGTGGCTAGACGCAGATATGCTTCCTGGCGAGGTGAAGCGAGACGAAACGTTGGAATGTAAATCTCTTCCCCACCCTTGACATCCCCGCCGTNNNNCCCTTCGCCGTCCCCTCTGCCCGACGCCTCTTCTGCCATCAGTCTCCGTCGCCATTTTGAAGGCGCGCGTTTTTCGCCCCCGCTGCAGGCGCCCCGCCGCCGCTCGCCGGTGTCCTTTTTCGCACGCTCCGCTGCGCCGCTGTGTGCTCGAAAGGTGGCCGGCGTTTTCTGGCTGCGGCGGATGGCGAGGTGACGAAAAGAAAATGAAGGTTCCACAAAGAAGTACGTTTTGCTCCGCAGTTTTGTCCTTGTATCGCGTCGATTGGGCGGTGACGAATTGCAGCCACTTCCTCGAAGTATTTTTCTTTGAAGGTTAGTAAAAGTGTCTTGAGATACTAGACGCATTTACTACGTGTTGCTTTGAAATTATAATATACTTCCGGTTGTAGAAAATACTTAATATGAAAAAGACGTTGGGGTAAAATGATATGCATTGATTTTGATATTGAATAGGAGCGTTTTGTGCAGTTTTTAACATCCTTCACCAACTAATCGGATCCTACTCTTATTGGGCATTCTGTCTGACGGTTACGACGATTCTTCCGAATCATCTTGGGATGCAAGAGCGATGTCAATCGTCGGGACGCGGACTTCTGGTGAGGAATTGATATTTTTTCCTTACTCTGACAGAACTTAATATGTGAATTGTCAAAATAATATTTAAGCTCCTAAACCACATTGTGGAGGGGTAAGTTATCTAAAGAAGTGATCAATAGTTTATTCTTTTTCTATAGGCATGAGTCATTTGGATTAATTTTTTACCTGATAATTATAAAATATTAAAGAAGAATTATTGGAGTGAACGTGTTTGGGGGGTTTCGAGGTACTTGTAGTGGTGAAACGCTGTGGATTACTATTCTGTCTCTCCGGCGTAAAAATCATCATTGCGATTTAATTCGTGAGGTTGACAATAATTAACTCTTATATTGTAAGATGATGGTTTGCTATTTACTTTTTCTCGTGTAATTTTCTATGCCCAAGGTTGCATGAGTAAGGAAGCAGTGTTAGGTTTACAATTTATTTTTTATGGACTTTTATTGCACACTAAAAAAACACGTAAAAAGTCTCTCCGGAGGCCCCACGCTAAACTAGTTTAATAGTTATTATCTATATTAAACATTCACATTTTGAAAACGCAGAAATAATGTATTCATAATGAAATAACCACAGCTGAATACAATTTATTTTGGAGTGGAATCAGAAGCACGATAATGTAATAGTTTAGCTACTTCAGCGTTCGATGGTCTTTGGAATATTGGTGAGAGAAAAGGACGATTAAAAATTGGTACAAGTCACATTCTCTTCGAATCCTACGAATTTGCGAAAATTACAAAAGTTAAACGTTTTTTTCGGCGTGTTGCTTCAAATACAGTATTGGAGGTAGACAGCTTTTACTTAATGAAATGTATTCTTTAAAGGCAGATCTTAAAATATTTTTTTGAAAATGTATAATTCTGAGAATAGGCAAGGTTTCAAACAAAAAAATATCGAAAACTACTCCAAACATTATCATTGCTTCTTCGGATACAGCGAAGAACGCTTTAAAATGGCGTAGGTCTCATTTCGTTCAACACTGAAATTGAAAAAGTGCACAAAAAAATGACAATTTAACATCTTTGTGAGAATACCACGAAGGTTTATGGCCAATTATTAGGTTGAGTACTAATGAACGGTTTCACATTTTCTGGAAATACATTATTCCGTTGGGTAATTGCAAAGCGTTTGGAGGGTCCGATGGTGTACAGCAATGAGTTTGAAGTCCAACCATTTACTATTAAACCTTCGAAGGTTGAAGCCGTTAAGAGCGTGGGCATCATTATCCCGCTTAATTCTTGAACATCTTCCGACTTTGTAGTTGTAGTGTTTTTCTTCCCATACCCACTAGTCAGCGGGGGAGGAGAATCGCGTTCGCGTTGTAGGAAACCCACTCTTACGTAACTAAGTAAGACTTCTTTGTGTTAGTGCTAGTCTGATTATCGGCATACAAGGATTATCTGTGTGAAACAAGGTGGTAAATTACGTACGAGCTGGGCTCCGCACTGGCCTCGGGCGGTGTTTCGCAGAGCGTTCCGGTTCCACGTCTGTGCGCTTTTATAAGGATTGATGACGGGGCGAGAACATCTGGGCTAGGAGAGCCGTTGTTCCTCCTACAAAGACGTCAAATGAGGTCTTCCGCCAATAGGGAAACAGCTGAAGAAAGCCTGCAAAGTATAGAATCTCCGCTGCCCCAAACGCTGCAACGTAAAGCTACACGAAATCTACAAAGAGGAATGAAAATGGACTTTGGGTATTAACATAAGATATTTTATCTACCAGTGACTGGTACATCATTCTGTGTCGGCTCTTTTGAAAACTAGCCACTTAAATTCTTTTTACATGTTCGATTGAGTGTGTAGGGGGAAGGGGAGTTGCTATGGATCTTTTCATGCATTTCAGCTTTCATATGCTTTTCACGTTGAGTCCTAATTCTTTCGTGTGTTAGTACATTTCCCTTATTTCTGTGAGAGGCCGGTGCTCAATTTTTAAGTGTCGGTTTCCCGTTTAGTAAGAGATGACGATAATTCAAGTTAACTTGCCTTTTATCTAGTCGTGTTCTCGTATTCACACTCCGATCTACTCACCATTCTTTGTTAATTTCATAGCCGATATTTTTCGGTGTGTCGTAAAAAGGATGTTATTGATTTGTAACGTACTTTAAGCGAGATAAGATTTTTGATGTTTATTTCTCTTCAGGTATAAAACGTTTAATGGAACATTTGAAATAAATTAGGATACAGAAGTCAAATCAAGCACTAAAGTGGGGAAACATGAAAATGTACGTAGAAAGTTGTTTCGATACGTTGGGCGATTAACTTTTGTACTTGAACAGGAATTGCCGGAAGTGTAAAATCTAAAACTTAATTCTGTGTTATTTGTGTAAGTTTCGTGTCTTCTATGTAATTACTTACTACTTAAATACAAATGAGGATGAAATTCGCGGATATGTTTGTTCATTTTTTCCGACAGACACAGGCAAAATGTGTTGAATATGACGCCACATATGTTTGTAAAGTATGGAAGTAAGTTGCTGTCTCGTGCGACGTACGTTGTGGTTGCGTCGAAATTGCATGTGTGAGTGGTACCTGTGCACCGAGAGACACCCCCCAACATGGATCTGTGCTCGACCTCCCATTACGCAAATGAAAACATAAATACCCTTCGCTGTCTTGCCCAAGATGGCGCTTGCTTCTCCGGAGAAAAATGTTTCATCAGCTCAGCGGAAGTCTCCCAAGGTTGGGGTGTCACATTATGAATCTTGTTGGCTGGAAGGTGTAGGTATTATACTCGTATGCTAGAACTCAACATCGTTGTAAGAATTGGAGAGTTGAATGTAAGAACCTCTTAACCTCGAATACAATTTGGGGAAAAGAACGACCGGGAGAGATGGCTCAGGGCATCAACTGATGTCACTGCAGTCCTTCTGACCGGGAGGTCCAAGGTTCGAGTCCCCGATGGTGGCAGGAATTTCAACACTTGCTTGTTAGCTTGATAGAATTCAGTCGCAATCTGTAGAAGAATTCTAGCGTCCGGCTGCTCTGATTGGTAGTTTTCCGTGGTTTCTCCGGTCAGCACCAGGCGAATGCCGGAGCAGTACCCTAACAAACGGGCCACGAACCTCGCGAGGTCTTTCCTACCTCTTCTTTGTCCTATCCTCTTCCCTTACACACACTTACACTAACACGCATTACTTTACCACACATGCCGTGAGACCAGTCGGGAGCTTAGAGCTTGTCCCAGCTGGGACGTTCCCCCTCTGGTGGGAGATACTTTGTTTGGACTCCTCTCAGACGACGGTTGGTTGGCGTCAGATCTCGCCATTCAGCGAGGGAATACCACAGCCACCGCCTGAGGAAAAACATGCACTACACTTACGAGACCAATGACCCTAGTGGTTGAAGCACCCGGAATCACTAACAATCAGTCAATCAATCAATCGAAAAAACGAATTTTAACTTTTTCTTCATCGGTAGGTATTCTGACATGCAGTACACTTATTTTGTTCATTACATTTGGGACGCTTTAGGACCATTAGGTTTAAGGAAAGTGAATTCTGTATGCACATATAACTTGGGTGAATGGTCACAATATTCGTAAGAAAAACACACACTGTTACTTTATATTAAAGGCAAACATCTGGCAGCAATACCAATAACCCTACTGCTCCCGGCATGTCTTTTATACGGAACGAAAACTTGTATTTCTTGCCCATATTGTGTGAAAAACAGAATATTGCCAAAAATGTCTTTAACTATGACGACCACGCACCAAATAGCAATTCAAGTAACTACACTGTCTGAAATTACTGCATTACTTTCATGTAAATTAAATTAAAGTATTTATCACAAACGCCCATTAAATGTAATGTTGACAAGCACATTAGGTTGCAAGAGTCAAAGCTTAATGGACATATCTGGAATGAAATGAATGAATGATATAATAGACAGGTGATTATGAATATACGGTATGAGTGATGAGAGGCCGGGGAATCGGGAAAACCTCTACATAAAATCTCCACTTATTTTCTCCTTCTCTTCATTTCTTTTTCCCTTTCGTGGTTACATTAGGTATCATGTACAATATATTTATATACATCACATTGAATGCCATTTTTGACATTGTATCTCTTAAGCCGATCTATATACTATTTTATTCTTTCTTTATTTTCGTTTCAATTATTCTTCTCGAGACAGATTTGAAACTCGTTACATGCTGTACATGTTGAAAATAGAGTTGGGAATTATGAAAACGAAATGAATGTATTCTTTTTTAGGAATTTATTTAAGAAATATTTCTAAATTGAATTATATTACAAACAAGTAGATTAGAAACAATTATCGGATGTTTCTTCTTCGTCACTCATTATGATTTTGTCTAGTGCAGAAATTATGAATAAGCTACATCAGAAAAATCAAACTTAATACTCTTGATTTAACCTGAGTGCCAAATTGTAGATTGACCGAAATAGTGAATATAGAGCGCACAACGAATAGGCGCGGGCACCTTTCATGCAGTTGGATAGACCAACACCGTCTGCGCAACTTCTAGTTGTATGAATTCTCTGAATCATTTTATTTGAATTTATAGAAAAGTATTCATGCACATAGATAATGGCTTAGCTTAGCTAAGCCATTGTTCAATACAACTCAACTGTTGTTTGAGTTATTCCATAACATGATTTGGTTGTATGTATTAAATGCGAATTCTATAATTTTCTCTGAGAGGCAATTGCTTTGTATGATTTAGCACTAAGTCAGTAGTATTTTGATTCGATACCGAGGATTTTATCTCATTCGACGTATACAATTAGGTTCGACAACTGAATTCACATATACCAGTACGAAATATCAGGGCATTCCCATACCCATAGATGGTAAAAAAATCTCTTCACCAATTCTTAAGTTACATATTCATCAATTCTCTTATTCAGGACTGGTCTGAATGTAGCAACGGCGAATGATGAAGGTAGGGATACGTACTTAAATCTCCGGTACAGTCGGTTTCCTGTAATCACATGGGTTGTCATTGTATATTTCGTAAATTTCTTTTAAATCATAGGTGTACACTTTGGGGAATACCGAAACATCTTTGTACGCGCAGGCATTAGATTAACACAAAGGTAGCAATTTCCTTAATGTGAAAAAGCGTTCTTTCCTCGCCCAAGCGTCAATGCCCGTTCGCCGCGGGCCACGCTGAGGTTGACATCTGTCCCATTGTGCGGAAACAATGCCGCTTTGGCGAAACGAAGTTCGCACGCCCAATGCCCCGCCTCGTTCCGCCCGTCATTCGCACGGCGTCAGCCGTACGTCGCTCAGGCGCCGGCGCGGCGCTGCCCGGGAGGGAGGGCTCATCGCGCCACCGGCCCACCCCCGCAGGAGGCGTTCGCCGCGGGCGCTCGTGTCAAACGCGCAGTGGGCCATTCCCCGTCGCCGATGTGGGAAAGTGGAAATGTTTGTGTCCGAGCGGTGTAAGTTCAATTGCTTCCAGAGGTGGTGCCTCATAATGGTTGAATGCAGGAAAGAATTAGATTTAATTATTTTTCATTGTAGATATTCAAGTGAATTTGAAAGGATTTCATTGGTTAACGAGTCTGAGATATACCATTTGAGTCTGGGTTTGTGCATTCGAGAGAACTTGAGTGATTATTAATCATTTTCAGATGTAGGCCAGTACCTTGTACCATTATCAATATAAACTCTTTGTATACATTCTGACACATAAATTATCTCTATTTTCTCCAAAAATGTTCATTCTCTAATTAATATTACAATCCAGTAATTACAGACGAGATATTTAAAGAAATGTAAGGATAACTTTTATTTTTTTCAGTCTACATGATGCACATTGTATTTTATTGTAAAATTGCTTCTTGATTCTAGAACAATCATGTGTGCCGTAGTCATTTTTAGCATCCAAAAACTGCGAAAAAATAAAAGTGGGCACTGTTAGTAAATTATAAAAATTGTAAATCAGTTGTTAATAATCTGATTACTCTTTGCGTAAAATGGAATTTCAAATACAGTATGTGACATAAACACTTTATCTTTGATGTTGATTGAATCCAAACTCAGTAGGTGGTAATCTTTGTGAAAAAATTGAAAATGCTCAATGAGAGTGTAGGCTTTTAAGTGCATAGTTCTTTGCACAAATGAAAAGAAAACGCTTTATATTTAGGTCTGAAGAGGCAGAAGAGATTGAACTTTCATGTATGTCAAAATGAAGTATGAGCGTAATTTTCTCCATAGGCTACAAAGAACGACAAGCTCCGTCTTCCTCATATCTCAGTTTTATGTTTTCTGCCGATGGAGAGACAGCAGAGCCCACCGTGGACACATCAAACGGGCACCCATTGAACTCGGGCGTAATGAAACGCTTTTATCCTCGCGCCGCCGCCGCCGCCGATGCCAGCGCCTGGCGGCGCAAACGGGCACGTTGTGCAGCTCGAGCGGCGCGGTTCGGCAACGCTCGGCTCTGCTCGGCTGCTGTTCGGTGTGGCTCGGCTGGCGCGTCGGCGCGCCCGCCGCGAATCCAGACGCGCGCGCTCGCCAGTCGCTCCGCGGCCGTCGACGTTGGGAGGCCCGCTTGCGGTGGGGCTGTTGTGAGACGGAAGTCTGACTATTCTCTGCGGCGGTTTTTAGGCTGCATTGTCGGCTGTCACGTGTTGAACTCGATCGACGTTTGCACAGTTTCGTGTGTTATGTTTGCAGCGGCCTGAATGTAGGTATGTAACGATGTAGAAGCGGCTGATTTGATGAACTTGCGACTACGCGTGTTGTGTGCGATTTTACGTAACGAGTGCGGAGTCGTGTGAGATTTCAGTTTTTGTTGCGCCGCCCAGACAGCAACTGCTTGCTGCACAAGCTGCTGACCTTTAACGACTCTTTGAGTTGGACGATAATTTGTTTAGAAAGCCCAAGTGTTGTATCCGGTATGGAACTGTCAGCGTGTCGTAAATTTTCACGGAATGTTAATACTGACAATGGGAGTGTGTGCCAAGCTGCATAAAAGGCGGGTGTTTTTTCGTAGCTGTTGGCACGAGATACAATAGAAACGCTCGCGGTGCTATATTTATTTAATTTGTTCTGGGCATTAATTGTATCCCGTAATTAACTGTTGAAAATTTTGGGGAGTTTTTTGGGAGTTGTAACTTCATTTGTGTAAAGATAAATATTCAAAACGTATGCAAAGTACTACTCGGAAGA